GGCTGAGATTGTGTCTTCAAATACACTGTGCTTGTACATTTTATCAAATAGACAAAATAAACTCTGTTCGCTACCCTCTGCGTCACACGCAAAATCGATTGGTTACGTAGGTAAAATTAATTTAAAAAGACCCTTGTATTTTGCAAAGTCTGAACATCTTTAATGGACTTATGTAAAATGTTGAACATCTTAAAAATTTGTTGAACTTTTCAAAGTCTAAAATCTGCTTTTTTCCTTTAGGAAAAGCAAAAAGGAAAAAATAATCAATTTTTTTTTTGTCCTTCGTCTACACGCAAAAGAGAAGTTAATCTCATTATATTAACGTGTATGGGGGCGGAGGTATTAATGAAAAAAAGAAAAAAATTTAATAATTACCGTAATATTAAAAAGTCAATACATTTCTTTGTCGTGATACTATTCCTTTTACATAACAATAAAACTTCATGTATAAAAAATTAAATATCTGTTAAAAAATAGCAGGTTCTGTTTAACAGAAGAAAAGCTAGTATAGTAGTAATAGACTCGTTGAAAATACATGTAAACAAACTTTTCTATTTATAAAATGGAATGTATAGACAAAAGTAATGCTTTCTGTAACTTTTAGAAATTATTCTAACCGTAAGAAAATCTTCGTCTTTAAAACTGTTATTAGGCTAGGTGATCGAGGAAAAGAATGTGCTAAACATTTTCTCTTTTACTCCTCGTCACAATACCAACTGGAAGTCGGACATTTATTTAATCAATTTGCACGTGTAATTCAATACTAATCATCAATCGATTCATTGTTAATAAATGTATAATATTTAGAGAACTCAAGTAATTACGTGAGAAAATTCTACATCAGAGCTAGATGCAGTCTGATAACTAGTGAAGAGATGAATTACCATCTTCGGAATATTGGTCGTTCTCTTATACAGGCTTTTATTTCAAATAATTTTTGCATTTTCTAGCTTGTTCAACTATATGAAACAATCTTTCTGCTGAGAAACGAGATAAAGACTTCACCATTTTGTCTCCTGTTGATTCGTTATGATTGTACGTTAGGATTATTCATTTCTTATTCTCAAACATTAGTACTGATCGATATGCTCATTGAAATAGAACAATGATTCGATTAAGCCTTGAACCACGTTTTTGGTAAAAGAAAAAGCAAATTGATCTAACAATATACGTCATAAAGTTACTATCACACCTATTACGAAGGACATTTTTTTCATTTTTTTTTCGTGTATAACAAGGGCAAAACTGAAACGAAAACGAACAAAAAGTACAAACGAACGATTGAAACACGTTTTAACAATAAATAGTTCAATTGATTCCTCTATTGACTATATTGACAACATTCTTCTATCTAACGTATTTTCTTTTCAAAACTACGTTCAGGAACGCCGTTAATTTCACTACTTGTTCATTTCACATTACTATCTAATTTTGTTCACCTAGTGGTAAATTAGCTACCATATTCAGATTAGATAACCCGATGATTAGATACATTTGTCTTTCTAATTTTGGCTATGTATGTATCAAAGTGAAAACTAGTTTTTCCCTTCAAAGAGTTTTTCCTTATCTAGTAAATGATTTGTTTTTCTTACTTTATCCAATGTCATCACGTGCTGTGTAATCATACATATTTTTTTAACAACAAAAAGAAGGGAAAAAAAAAGAGGAAATAAAAGATAAGAAAATTTTTTCAAAATATAGCCATATATATAATTTTTTTTTTCTTCTCCTTTCTATTTCTTTCTTTCAGAGCGTATTATTATTTTTTCTATTTTTTTGCTTAAGGACTTAATAATACACAGATATCTATACTGTACTTAAATACACATTTATAGATTTTTTAATAAAATTATCAAACACAAAAAGAAACGAAAAAAGAGAAAAAAAGAAAGAAAGTTAGAGTAATTGGAAAAAAAAATAGAACAAGAACAAAACACAAAAATTGATTCGGTCGAGTAACGCTTCATGTCTGTTTGCTGATGCTTTTGTTATTGATATTATATCATCAAAGTCTCGTCAATTTTTTTTTTGTGTCTAGTTATAAGAGAAAAATTCAGAAACACGTCTTTCTTTTCTTTTCTTTTCGTTAAACGTTGAATTGAAGAAAGAATTAACATTCTTCTATATCGTTTTTTTGTCTTAAAACAATTCTAACATTATAATAAAGTTTTTTTTTTTTTTGTTCAAGTGGAAAATCCTCAAACAAAAAACTCAATAAAACATTCATCATTACTACAATCAATAAGACAAAAAAATAGTTTTTATTAACATGGCACATACTTGAGGAACGAATACTTTTCCGTGTAACGGCTTTATTGTTACCATCACGTGATCACTTCAGACAATCTTACTTCTAAAACAGAAGAAAAAAAAAAGAAGATAAAGATTTCTATCCTAGTTACATGTCACTACTATATTCATTTTAAAATAGAATGATCATAGTCATTTTCGCAATAAATTTTGATTAGAAACAATGAGAGAATTGTAGTTTTCGCTATTCAATAGGTCAGATGTTGGAGAAATTTTTCATTAGAAAAATAAGTAAAAGTGGTCTTTAAAGAGATTTTGTAGAAAATCGGATTATAGTTTGTTTTAGATGAGAGTCGAGTAAGACTTTCATTTTTAGTTGATCAGATGTGGATATCAGATTTTCTAGAATCTCTAGAACCAATTTTTACTACCATGATAAAATCTTGAAAATGCGCAATATATACGTTGTTATCAACCATACCGAGTGTAATGGTGCTATTTATTTTCCAAAAAAGTTCAAAATCGAATAAAAACTGACATTGTTATACGAGAGTAGATTTTAAGCTATTTTTATTAAAAATTAAAATTTCATATTTTAAACAAAAACCAGTCGAATTACTTAAAAATGTCAGAATGTATTTAGTTTGGCTAAATACATCAATGTCTATATGAGTTTGCCGTCAAATAAGTCAACAAAAATTAATTGTTTTTTTTCTCAAAGATTTTGGAAATTTGTAATAGCAGTATTCATAAAAATCTTTTATAGTTTGAGATAATTATGTTGAGTAGGTAATAGAGAATCTATGATATTAATAGTGACAATAAAAATATTTTGCAATAGAATTCTCTTTCTTTCTTATTGAAGAATAGAGTCTAATCTTACTTAAAAATGTAAAGAAAGCAATTGTCCTATTCACATACACCACCATATTCGTTGAACATTCCAGAATAAATATTGGTCCTATGAGAAAAAAAAAAACATTTTACCTATATTAATCAAAAATAAATAAAACGTAAATGAATGGGAACGACATCATATGGAATTTGTAAGCACATTACAATATGATAATGAAAAAAAAAAGTAAAAAAACATACTACATGATGATACATTTAAACATATTGTCAATATCAGTGGACTATAGGACGTGATCTTAAGTAAAAGATCAAATTCCACCGTATGTTTTAATAGTAGAATGAGATCGTGCAAATAAAATTTCATTCGTTTAAATAAATATTACTTACAATGTTTTGTTTAATTAAGTATGTCGATTAAAAGTTAATAAGTGCAAATAGTAATGAAAACGATAAAAAAAAAAAAAATGATTTCAGACTGATAAAAGTGTAATTATTATTCAATTATTAACATCATCATCGTCATTTGATCATTTCCGAAAAGCTTGTTATTTTTCTACTATACAGAATATTTACATCTAGAATAAAATATAAAAAGATTACATTCACCGTAAAAGTAAAAGAATAATGGGAAAAAACATCAATAAAAATAATTATAGTAACTTTTTCAAAATATGAATTTGAAACATTTGAAATTACAACGTAATAATTATTTGGTTAGAATCAGACAACAAACAAAGATGATATTGTTTATTCTTCTCTGTGGATCTGACATCTCACCACTTTTTCTCTTATTGAACAAAATGAAATTTTAATTGTTCAAAATCTGTAAAGAACAACAACAACAACAACAACAGCAAATCTATAAAACAAAACACAAAATGAAATCTTCTTCTGCTCACATATTGTTTGTTCTTTTATTATACTTTCTTTAACATGTAGAAAAAGACTAGATGGGTCACAATAATATTTAACATATTATGCGCAAATGTAAAGAAAACACACAAAAAAAAAATAGAATATATAGACTTTGAAATACAAACAACATAAATACATAGCCGAATGCAGCACATACAAAAAAACACCTTCTTTAAGAAAACATAATTGTTTGCTTTTTATTTGGCTATGAAAAAAAACATGAAGAAGACGAAAAACACAAAAAACGGATTTAATGCTCGTGCAACATACAAATGTTCGTGAAACAAATAAAAAGAAAAAATTAAGCTAAACCAAACAACACATTTAGTGGAAAACATTGGAATGATAGATATTATACAGAGAAGGACGATCTGCTGTGATTTCTAGCAAATTAGAAAGAAAAAAACAACCGACATACTCTTAGTTCTTGGGTGATTAGAGCCAAGGAGTTTTAGTCAAACAAATTACAAATCTCTACCTTGACAAATTACATCTGACGAATTTGAAATAAAGAAAGCAAAACATGTAGTAGTAACGATTAATTTGAGATATTTATAAAGTCGCGCTCACTGTTTACTTGTTCACTATAACATTAAACATATTAAAAAAAGAAATTTAAGCAACTTTGTCGAGCGATAACGAACAACTTTCTTAAATAATTGAAAAATAACGGGGATGATATTCGTGTGCTAAATGAATAGTAATAGTTTCTCTTTAGTATTAAATATTTCGCAACATTTGTAATGATAATTGAAAAAAATAGAACGAATTAACGAACAAAAAGAATTTGCGTAGAAATTTATTTCGAGTTGTAACGTTGAAAGAGCACGAAACGTTGACAATTATCATTAAATCTATGATGTTGTCTACTTACTACACTTTTACTTGTGAATTCTTTAAATCAACTTTGTTTTATAACAGAATAGAAGACAGCTAAGATGAATGATCGGTTATTTAAACAAACAAAAAAATCAACAGCACTAAGATGGCTCCTCTTCTTTTTCCGATACAATGTTTGTTTGTTGAACAGGTACAATTGTTTGTTTACATTGTTGTATATGCTCATGTACAGTAAGCATCTCTTTCAGTCCTTTATTTTCTAACAATAATGCATTAATCCGTTCTTCTTGAGTATGAATATTAATATCATCAATATCAATTGCTTGACGCATAATACTTGCCATTTCTTGAATTTTTGACGATTTATCTTGAACTTGCTAAAATGAAAATAAAAAAAAATAAAGAAATAAATCTTACTGACAGGTAAAAAGTGGAACGAGAAAATGTTAAAATCTAGTTTCTTTGTAATAGACTGATCTTTAAAGACGATTCACTTTAGTCTATTCAGTACCGTGATGATAGTATTATAACACTAATTAAAGCTTTATTAAAAAGAAAAATGTGAGCACAAAGGGTTAAAAGAAACCCACTTTAGCACTATACACAGAAACATACACATGTAAATATAAGAACCTAAAACATAACAAGAAAAGAAAAAGTCAGGAAAAAAGAAAGAAAAAGAAATCCTCATTTTATCCTTAAAGAGATGTTACACTTGCACTGTTGGTTACAATGGTTTTATTGAACCTAATGATGCTCAAAGTAGAACTGCAGCTCAATCTACTCTCATCACATGTATCAACCACTCGATCGAACTTACTGTTGATACGTGACAGATGTGAATCCAGGCTGCTTAAAGCGATTAGTCGTAGATATAAATTTTAAAACAGAATGATATATCTGTATCATATCTTTATATTTCATAGAGTAATATAGCATAAGTAATGACATTGTTATAGTCGTCGTAGGCATTATGTCAACAATCTCAGAGAATAGCAGTTTTCGTTGGTTTTTGTATAAAGGACAATGGAGGAAAAAGTGTTCAAGTGTCTCATTTGCATCACATACACAGTACGGGTCAGCGATGAGATTACTAATGTACAGATCATGTCTTAGCTGAGTTCGATCAACTCGACATCGACAAAAATGAATTTCATCTAAGCGATTATTTGCAATGGGAAGCCTTTTCTTGACCGTTGTTTTAATTTTCTTTTTAAAAGAGTTCAACTTCGTTATATTTCGTGTACTAAACGGTTTATAACATTAGTATTCAACAACTTAACATTCTTACTGTAGTAATGTCATGAGCACTGATAAGCACGAGAAAACTCAAATCTAGCTCCTGAGTACGAAATCGAGTACTCATATAAGTAACAATCATGCTGAAATGTTCAAGTGTTTATGCCATTTTTGTAACGAAATATCCATTAGCGTTTAGTACCTCTTTTAGAAGGTAGCAAACTTTTCATTAACTTCTGTTTTTAACCGAAACTTCTTTACTGGCATCACTCTACTGAAATTGTACATATCAAAAACATACTTGAGCTAATCCAGCATTATACAAATCAATTGCAATTGATTCTTCTTTTTCCATCATAATTAATTGTTGAACATGCTGTCGATATTTGAACATTATTTTCTCCAATACACTTCGATGTTCGTTTACCAACTGTCTTAATTCTTCATTTTCTTTTTGCAACTTTCTGAAAAAAATAAATGAAAAAATATCTTGTAAAGCAATACACAGTAAAATATTGTACAACTCTAATTACTTAATTAAACGATTTTCTTTTTGAATATTGTAAAGTATTGCTGCTTTTGGTCGATGTGATCCAAGGTCATTTAATTCGGCTATGTCATCACCATACTAAAATTGACAAACAATAGAATGAATACTTTCAATTGAACATACACACGAATATAGACTAACCTGTTTCATACTGATAATTTTTTCTTGAACGTATTGTGCTTGACTTACTGCTGTATCAGCTGTAGCATCATCTCGACGTAATCTGGAAACTAATTCTCGCGCATTTGCAAGTATCGTATCCAAAGAAATATTCATGACATCTATTACTTTATTGAAAATAAAATGAAGTTACTTATAAAAAAAATGAAACAAATAGAGAGAGAGAGAGAGAGAGTAAGCTATTATCTCTTGATGTTGTTAGTTTTAAGTATGCAATTTTAAAGACAGTTCTCGCTATCTTCTTCATGGTATATATTCATTAACAACATTATTCATTCACTAGAGCGTTGAGCTTGACTTCAATCCATCAAAAATAAACTCATGTAGATAACAAGCGAGGAGCTAAGTCAATGCAGTATAAACAGCAGCAGCTAAACTTCACACCTAAACAGACTTAAAGTTAAATGAAATGAACCGTGACTTGATCAGTTTCTCTTTTTCTTGGTTTGTTATCGTTTGTTTTGACAAGAGTTTTATATCATTTTTGATTTTTGTTGATATTCTAACTTGTATTGTTAACTGAACTGAATGAGTCACTACAATTTTTAATTTTTTAATTGGCTCTACTCAACTCTCATTAACGCCTCTGACTATAACACGTTTGTGTATAATTAGAAAAGTAGTTTATTATTACTTTCAAAACGTCGTAGAAAGGTTACTCAGCACATGACCATTATAAATAATTATTTCGGTACAATTCATGGTAGAGGCATCGCTGAGAAACAGTACCAATGAGTACAGAATCAGGGAAATACTGCACATAAGGTATTAAAAAATAAAAGAAAACGTACAAGAGGTTGCTGAATTCGAGAGACTTATCAACTTTTCCCTATATACTCATTTCGAAAAGTGATTTTCTTTAACAATATCTTCTGCTGGCCAGGTTTTGTCGTCAAATTTTTAGGAAGAATTGGAAAGCTCAGGTCAAGTAATCATACTGTAAGGTCGTACAAGATTCTTATTAAACGAACCTTATAAGATTTCCGCTATCGTGCGAAATCTTACAGCAAAAATCGTATGATAGTCTGTAAGTTCTTGTAAGATCTTAGTACGGTTGTTTGACAGGGTAACGCTAGTGTTAATCATGCGTGAGACTAACAGCCGCAATGTGTAATAGCACTCTGAAAATTGAGTTCAGTTCTTTTAATAGCAAAATGCACCGACACTTTTAAAACTGAATATAAACTCTGTTTTTAAATTATTAAAAGCATCGTTCGACACAGAGTGCGCACGTCAATGTTTCTGATGAGAATTTCCTCTTGAATTTCCTTTGAGGTCCATAGTTTACTTAATAATTTTCCATATTATTTAAGTTATCCAAATGTCAATTGAATTTTTACAGTGCTATGACACATTGCAGCTGTTAGTCTCACGCATGATTAACGCACAGTGGGGAGCCAGGCGGACATATGCGAAAATATTCTTTCCACAATCTAACCGTTTGCGTAGATACATACATGTATGATCTATCATTTTCTAAAATAGCGGTTCTCAAAGTTTTATAGAGCCTGATAAAGCTTGGGGTCAGAAATCGACATAAATGGAGAAAGTCAAGCCGCTCGGCAATATAACACAATATTCCAGAAGCAAACAATATCGCAAAGAACTTGTTCACTTATGGACTTTATGATAAAAAAATTATCGTAATCGAATTAAAAACAGAGTGGAAAACAAAGGATTTCGAGCCCCAAAACCTATCTGAAAACGTACCGTTCCGTATATTGTAAACGATCCAAAGGAGTAACGTCCGATCGAGCACGCATTTATACTCCATGCTCCCACATGTGTATCCTATTTATGGTAGATGCAAAAACTCATGAAATCTTTCCTAGGCTATTTTACAGGATGCCCAAAAACTCGAGGTCCCCAAGTAAGAAATCCGGCTTTAGGCACTCGTGTTACACTTTGAAGAAAAACCAAGGTGATATTCGGAATCAGGTCGTCAAACTGCATCGGACTACATATAAAAAGTGTCATTTTCGTGAAAGTGAATTTTAGAGGTTTTCCCCAAATCACAGATTTTTGACCGAAAATTCAGTTTTAAGCATTCATATTATACTTTGAAGAAAACTAAGGTGATATTCGGAATCAGCGCATTAAACTACATCGAATGATATGTAGCTCAACATATTTTTTTTCGAAAAACGTTTTTTCTTGAAAAACCCTTTTATTTTCTTAAAAACGATTTTCTGAGTGGTAAACTGTCATTTCTAGTCAAATGAAAGCCGTTTCTGAGCAAAAATACCTCATATCCGCCTACTTATGCTAAAGCTCCCCACTGTGTAACACTAGCGTCAATTGGCATTTGGATACCTTAAATAATATGGAAAATTATTAAGTAAACTATGGACTGCCGCTTTCCTCAAAATTCTCATCAGAAACATTGACGTGCGCACTCTGTGTCGAACGATGCTTTTAATAATTTAAAAACAGAGTTTATATTCAGTTTTAAAAGTGTTGGTGCATTTTACTATTAAAAGAACTGAACTCGAAGCAAAGTGTAGTGAGCACGGTTATTATTCTGTTTCTATTGAATAATCAAGTGACAATTAGCTTGCAGTAAATATCTATTAAAAACAAATTTCGTGTGAAAAAGATTCACGATGGTAAGAGGCAAGGGCAGATTCCAGATCGTAGTCTAAAAAGAAAAATTTGTTTTCCTCAGTGGAATGTTTAACTTCATTGCATGATATGGATAAAACATTATTTTCGCACACTGGACGTACCTCGAAACGTTTATGGATTCGTGTCTCATTAACAGTCAAAGAAGGATTGAGAAAATTTTGACGGTGAGTGCCTTTTTTCTCGGTAGGCGTGCTGGTCCGGTGAAGAAAATCGTAAACTTTGCACACAGTACAAAATTATTTTCAGGAACAAATGTCAGAGATTAAAATTTGCAAGTTTGACCAACAATGAAAACTGATTTTTTTTTTGTTAGAATGCATGCACTGATGGGAAAATTTTTTGTCAAAAATGTATTAAAAGCAAACTTTGGTAGAAAATGGCCCAAATTTAAAAGAGTAGGGTTAGCTCTCCCTCATCGAAGAGCCTATAGCTGCGAATAAAAATGAAAATTTTTTTTATCTGATGATGAAAACAAAACTTTGTTACCATCTATTACTGTAGCATTCATACTCCTAAATCCGTCACTGGTGTCAAGTTATGTATGAACGACAATATCAAAATAAATATTTGTATATAAAAAACATTGCACAAATTCACAGTTCTTATTCTTACTGAACGCTTTCAAGAGCAATGACAGTTTGGATGGCTATGCACGAGTTGGATATTTATCTTAGACTATATAATGTTTCATAAAATAGTGTCGAAAAATGTCTGGTTCTGATTTCTCGAAGTAACTAATATCGATCAATAACCAAGTATCATACGTTACTAGGATGGAACATGTATGGCAGAAAGTTGCTAAACAGATCTTTCGTTTGAGTAAATGTGTCTGTTTGATCTTTCTAACTAAACCAGCTAGATGTGTCGTTAAAATGAACGTGAAAATACTTTCCTTGAAAAATTTTGGTCTATTAACTAGCCTCGTTTTGATATTCGACCTACGTGCTAAATTCTCTCACATGGATGAACTGTGCGTTGAAAAAAGGCAGTTACTTCCTATCTTCGTATGTGCAGCTATGGATACCTCACTGAACTAATTATTTTCAACATGCATAAAATTCTTTTTGATGAGATGTGTATACTACTTTTTTTATGATCAAATTACACTAGTTTTGACATGAAATAAATACTACATGGTATTTTCGTCTTGTTCTCATGCACACACTAATTAAATAAAACCTTTCTCATTGCTCTTTTAGATCTACTTCTTGTTTGTGACTGATTCTGGCACCAGATTTTCTGTAGAATTAACTGTTCTGTCATCACGTTGTTTTGATTCGTGTAGCCAGCAGCACCGGGACAAGAGGGGGACGAGAATGAGTTGAACTCATCTCGGAAGTCAACCCTAACAGCAGTTTTCAAAAACGTTTTTTTTCTGAGGAAATACATAAAAGTAGTATTAGATTATTGTCATGACTTCCATCATTTTTTTATCTAATAAATGAGCAAAAAAAAAATTCATGATAAAGTTTAGATTAATAAACTAGGATAGTCGCTATGTCTATGAAGTCCGAAAAAAGCACTTAGAAATCTATTTTTCGACATCATTTATTAATAAAAACGAAATATGTAAAATTGGGCTATATAGTAACCAAGTCAATTTTGTCCATAGCCTTACACAAACTTGGAACAGGTTGAGTTTTGTCCACATGCAGCAGAGTGGCCCATGATGCACCAGATAACCGGTTGGTTAAATTTTAGAAAGAAACTGAAAAACAACCGTATTCTTCGATATCAGTCATAAATTTGGTTATTCTATATGATTTTTAAAAAAAAGGTGTAAAAACCTATTTTTCTTAAGTTGAATGTGTGTCTAAAAAGTAGTACTAATTGAGAAGATTAGATTCATGATTTATATGTTATCTGAATATTGTTTTACAAATAATTACTAATTTAAAGTAAATCTATAGTAAACCGGTAGCAATAATTTATCTAGAGCCTTGACCTTTGAATTTGATTGAGCCTTCTCTAGTAAAAGTCCTATGAAGTTCTTGACAGGATCCGAGACATATCCTGCCAGTATTCTATTAGGATTTCGCTTTAATTTCTTAGGATCCTAACAAAATTCTACAGAATCCTAATGAAATAAGGTATACCCGAAAGTCATAGGATTTTCTAAGATTCTATTAGGATCCTAAACAAACTTAAGCGATATTCTAGTAGGATCCTAGGATTTTAGGCTCCTACTAGGAAGTTATCAGGTGGATCCTCAATGTTAGGATCCTGTAAGAGCCTAGTAGGAAATAGACAGAAAGTTCGTAGGATTTTGTGTTAAGTTGTTATTTTATATATTTTCGGATACGAAGAATTGCTAAAAACTTCATTTACCTTCCTGAAATCATTTTAAAAATCTAGAAAGAATTTTTTTTGAGAATAAATTGATATAAAATCGGCTGCTAGAAAAAGGCTACCAGGCTAGAACGGCGAGCAGTCGGCTAATTTCGATTTTAACGTCACTTCTATGTCTATTAGCTGAAGAACGTGCATTTGATATAAAATTTAAACAATTAGTAAAATTATCATTAATTATAAAATTATGTGTAAAATTAACTTTTACGCTCAATCTAACATGTTTCTGAGCATTTTCGTCAGCTCAACTTTTTATTTAAGGCTTCAACTGATGATAATGAAAACGTTGAACTGGATGGAGAAGCTAGCGAAATATTATCAAAAAAGAAGATGGAACAATATCCAAATGTTGTTTATGTCAATAGAAACGATACACAAGACTCTATATTTGTGTACGCAGATGAAATACTACCCATTGCCAAATTTTCTACGCGACTTCGCACCAAAACCAGAAAATAAAAAAACGCGTTTTAATCCGGTTTTTCGTCGAAGCGTTGAAACCAGAAACTAGAAAAACGCTTTGCTTTCCTTTTGTTTTCTCAACGCACTGAAACCATAAGGTGGGAGAACGCTTTCCTACGCGTTCCAAAAGAAAACGAAAAGAGACACCATATCTCATTTTCTAGTTTCGGAACAATTTTTAGGTGTTCTTCTCCTGGATTCGATCTTCCGACCTTTCATACGCTGTACTTCTCCAACTACGCATTTTCCCATTGCACTAAATTGTG